ACACGTATGCTTGAATTTGTTCTTGGGTTTTCCGTCTTGTTTCATTGGTTGTTTTGTCTTTTCATGTGTCAGTTCTATACTATTTTAATGATAGAGGCTTTCAAAAATAATATTTGATACGATTATCCCCTTTTCTAATTTTTAGAATTTGCTAGCTATGTTTGCTTGTCTACTTTTCCCAGTGAATGTTATAATTTTTCTTATTCCTCAAAGAAATCTTCGTATTTTTATTGGGATCACATTAAATTTATAAATTTGCTGAGGGAAAATTGTCATTTTTCTGCCTTCTATCTATAAACATAATATCTTTTCTTTTGTATTTTATAGTTAGGAATTCTTTATGTCAATTATACCTCAATAAAAAAATGTGATGAAACATGAAGGAAAAAACCCTTTGTCTTCCAAAAGTGACACAGACTTTTGTAAAAAATAATGAATTCATTTGTAAAGTATATAGTGCATTAGATAGCAAGTTACATTAATGACTTAAAAATTACTTCCAACTCTAAGATTTTATATAAAAACACATTTTAAAGAAAATATGAATGTATTTTATTGTCTTTTCTATACCCTCAAATTAAGAGAGAACTTGACTGTTCATTAAAGACTGCAGTTGAGAATGTGTTAGAGTGGGAGTGGGTCCGAGATTGTCCTGTATTCATTTGACATCGATGAAGGAGGTGGGCAGTAAGCCATGATTTTAAAGAGGACCATGGATATTATTTCTCTTTTCCCAAACAGTACATTCATATGCTAATGTGTATTTAGTCAGCCTAAAGAAAGGTGAAAGGAGACTATTAATTTGCCTTTTAGAAGCAATGTCACAAAAGGGATATTTCTCAATTCCCAGTAAAAAAATAGGTTTATGTGGTTGAAAGTCAACCAGCATAACATCTTTTTTTTTTTTTTTTTAAGATTTTTATTGGGGAATTGGAGGGTGGGATCCGAACCGGGGCCCTCTGGCGTCCCAAGCCAGTTCTTAACCATCGCGCCACTTGGCCGGCCCAATCAGCATAACATCTTGATAGCCTCTAATATAGCAGCAGTAGAACTAACATACTTTGGCATCAGTGTAACATTATTAGGTTTTTTTATTTTTTAATTTTAATTTATTTTTTAAGTATAGTTGGTATACAATATTATATTCGTTTCAGGTATACAATGTAGTGATTTGACATTTTTATACCTTTCAATGTGATCACCACACTAAATCTAGTATTAGTCATCTGTTACCATGCAAACTTATTGCAATATTATTGACTGTGTTCCCCTTCACCGTTTTTACCCATCCTTCCAACCCCGGCAACTGTCAGTTTAATCTCTGTTTCTATAAGTCTGTTTTGTTTGTTCATTTTTTTTTTTTACATTCCACACATAAGTGAAACCATATGGTATTTGTCTTTCTTTGTTTGACTTATTTTACTTTGCATAATACAACAGGTCCATCTGTGTTGTCATAAATGGCAAGATTACATTCTTTTTCATTGCTGAGTAATATTTCATTGTCCATATGTACCACCTCTTTATTCATTCATCTGTCAGTGGATACCCAGGTTGCTTCCATATCTTGGCTATTGTAAATAATGCTGCAGTGAACACAGAGATATATGTATCTTTTTGAGTCTGTTTCCTTTTTTTTGGTATAAATACCCAGAAGTGGAATTGCTAGGTGGTATGGTGGATCTGTTTTTAGTTTTTTGAGGAACTTTCATACTGTTTTCCATAGTGACTGCACCAATTGGTAGTCCCACCGAGGGGTACAAAGTTTCCCTTTTCTCCACATACTTGCCAACACGTTACTTGTTGACTTTTTGATGACAGCTATTCTGATTGGTATGATATGGTATCTCATTGTGGTTTTGATTTGAATGTCCCTGATGATTAGTGATGTTGAGCATCTTTTCATGTGCCTGTTGGCCATTTGTATGTCCTCTTTGGAGAAATGTCTCTTCATCTACTTTGCCCATTTTTTTATTGCATTGTTTATTTTTTTGTTATTGAGTTGTATGAGTTCCTTATATTTTGACTATCAACCCCTTATCAGGTATATCATTTATGAATATTTTCTCCCATTCAGTAGGTTGTATTTGTTTTCTTGATGGTTTCCTTCACTGTAAGAAGCTTCTTAGTTTGATGAAGTCCCATTTGTTTATTTTTTATTTTGTTTGCCTTGCTTGAGGGGACATATCTAAAAAGATAGTACTCAGATTGATATCAAACAGCTTATATGTTTTCTTCTAGGAGTTTTATGGTTTCACGTCTCATATGTAAGTCTTTATTCCATTTTGAATTTATTTTTCAGTATATGAGTGGTCCAGTTTCTTTCTTCTTCTTTTTTTTTTTTTGGTATGTATCTGTTCAGTTTTCCCAACACAATTTGTTGAAGAGATGATCATCTCTCCATTGTATATTTTTGCCTACTTTGTCATAGACTAATTGACCATATACCCATGGGTTTACTTCTGGGCCCTGTATTCTGTTCCATTGATCTGTGTTTCTGTTTTTGTGCCAGCACCATGCTGTTTTCATTATTATAGCTTTGTAGTATAGTTTGAAATCAGGGAGCTTGAAACTTCCAACTTTGTTCTTTTCTCTCAGGATTGCTTTGGCTATTATGATTTTCTGTTTTGTGATTCCATATCAATTTTAAGATTATTTGTTCTAGTTCAGTTAGTTTTTTTTTTAGAAATTTTATTGGGGAACAGTATGTGTTTTTCCAGGACCCATCAGTTCCAAATCAAGTAGTTGTTTTCAACCTAGTTGTGGAGGGCACAGCTCCTTTGCCCATGTGGGAATCAAACTGGCAACCTTGGTGTTACGAGCCTGCACTCTAACCACCTGAGCTAACCAGCTACCCCAGATTTTTTTTTTTAAAGCGCTATTGCCTATCTTATATCTGACATGTGATTGAATAGTTTGTTCGAATATAATATTAAACTGAAGTGGTATAAGTTTTACTCTCTCTAAAACCTTTTTCTTGTTCAAATTTTAGGACCCTTCAAAATTGTATAAGAAAGCAAGTGACGTTGCCGCCATTGAATGCCAATCTGAAGAAAGCATCCATCTTCATTCACAGGGAGAAAATCCTTTGTCTAAGAAGCTTTCTCCAGTACACTCAGAAATGACAGATTACATTAGTGCAGCATCATCTGCTCTGGTTGGTGGCCGGGATCCTGATTTAAAGGACAGAGCATTACTTAATGGAGGTACAAGTGTAACAGAGAAGTTGGCACAGCTTATTGCAACTTGTCCTCCCTCCAAGTCTTCCAAGACAAAACCGAAGAAGCTGGGGGCTGGCACTGCGACTGCACGACTGGTCAGCAAGGGCTTGACCAGGAACGCGGGCGTTGGCTCTGTAGCTGGGGTGATACATAAGGGCTTCATAAGAAAACCAGCTATCAGCACAGCCCTGGGTTTGGCAACTAGGGATCCTGGGAGAAAGCCAGTGTTTAATGCAACAGTGGGATTGGTCAGTAAGGACTCCGTGAACAAACTAGGAACTGGCACTACAGCGGTCTTCATTAACAAAGACTTAGGCAAAAAGCCAGGGGCTATCACTACGGTAGGACTGCTGAGCAAAGACTCAGGAAAGAAGGTAGGAATTGGCATTGTCCCGGGTTTGGTGAGTAAGGAATCTGCAAAGAAGCTAGGATTCGGCACTGTGGTCGGACTGGTTAACAAAGACTTAGGAAAGAAGTTGGGCTCTGCTGTTGGCCTAGTGGCCAAGGACTGTGCGAAGAAGATTGTCGCAAATGCAGCAATGGGATTAGTTAGTAAGGACATTGGAAAGAGACTAGTGAGTTGTCCTGTGGCAGGACTGGTCAGTAAAGAGGCCCTGAACCTGAAAGCCGAAGCACTGCTCCCCACTCAGGAACCACTGAAGGCTTCTTGTAGCACAAACATCAGCAGTCATGAGAGTCAGGAACTTTCTGAATCCCTGAAAGACAGTACCACCAGCAAAATGTTTGAGAAGAATATCATACGGCAGAGCAAAGAAAGCATATTGGAAAAGTTCTCAGTTCGCAAAGAAATCATTAATTTGGAGAAAGAAATGTTTAATGAAGGAACATGCATTCAGCAGGACAGTTTCTCATCTAGTGAAAGGGGGTCATATGAAACCTCGAAGCATGAAAAGCAGCCTCCCGCGTATTGCACTTCTCCAGACTTTCAGATGGGAGGTGCTTCTGACGGGTCTACAGTTAAATCCCCTTTTAGTGCAGTAGGAGAAAGCACTCTTCCTTCCCCATCACCTACTGTCTCTGTTAACCCTTTAACCAGAAGTCCACCCGAAAGCTCTTCACAGTTGGCTCCTAACCCGTTACTTTTAAGTCCCACCACAGAACTAATGGAAGAAATTTCTGAATCCGGTGGAAAGAACCAATTTACTTCTGAAAGTACCCACTTGAACATTGGTCATAGGTCTGTAGGTCATAGCCTGAGCATTGAATGTAAAGGGATTGATAAAGAGCTGAGTGATTCCAAAACTACACATATAGATATTCCACGAATAAGCTCTTCTCTGGGAAAAAAGCCAGGTTTGACTTCTGAATCCAGTATTCATACAATTACCCCTTCAGTTGTTAATTTCACTAGTTTATTTAGCAACAAGCCCTTTCTAAAACTTGGTGCAGTAACTGCATCTGACAAACACTGCCAGGTTGCTGAGAGCCTAAGCTCTAGTTTGCAGTCCAAACCATTAAAAAAAAGGAAAGGAAGGAAACCTCGGTGGACTAAAGTGGTGGCAAGGAGCACGTGCCGGTCTCCGAAAGGGCTAGAATTAGAAAGATCAGAGCTTTTTAAAAACGTTTCCTGTAGCTCACTATCCAGTAGTAACTCTGAGCCAGCCAAGTTCATGAAAAACCTTGGACCGTCTTCATTCGTAGATCATGACTTCCTGAAACGCCGGTTGCCAAAGCTGAGCAAATCCACCACTCCGTCTCTTGCTCTGCTGACTGACAGTGAAAAACCATCTCATAAGTCTTTCACTACTCACAAACTGTCCTCCAGCATGTGTGTCTCTAGTGACCTTTTGTCCGATATTTACAAGCCCAAAAGAGGGAGACCTAAATCTAAGGAGATGCCACAACTGGAAGGTCCACCTAAAAGGACTTTAAAAATCCCTGCCTCCAAAGTTTTCTCTTTGCAGTCTAAGGAAGAACAAGAACCCCCAATTTTGCAGCCAGAAATTGAAATTCCTTCCTTCAAACAAAGTTTGTCTTTTCCGAAAAAGAGAGGCCGACCCAAGAGGCAAATGAGGTCCCCGGTCAAGATGAAGCCACCTGTCCTGTCAGTGGCTCCATTTGTTGCCACCGAAAGTCCAAGCAAGCTAGAGTCGGAAAGTGACCACCATCGAAGTAGCAGTGATTTCTTTGAGAGTGAGGATCAGCTTCAAGATCCAGAAGATCTAGATGACAGTCACAGGCCACCTGTCTGTAGTATGAGTGACCTTGAGATGGACCCAGATAAAAAAATTGCGAAGAGAAACAATGGACAGTTGATGAAAACAATTATCCGCAAAATAAATAAAATGAAGACTTTAAAGAGAAAGAAACTGTTGAATCAGATTCTTTCAAGCTCTGTAGAATCAAGTAATAAAGGGAAAGTGCAATCCAAGCTCCATAATACAGTGTCAAGTCTTGCTGCCACTTTCGGCTCTAAATTGGGCCAGCAGATCAATGTCAGCAAGAAGGGAACCATTTACATCGGAAAGAGGAGGGGCCGGAAACCCAAAACCGTCTTAAATGGCATTCTCTCTGCTAGCCCTGCCAGCCTTGCTGTTCTTGAGCAGACAGCTCAGCAGGCAGCTGGGGCAGCATTCGGACAGTCCCTTCCCCCTTTACTGCCCTCATCTGCCAGTAGCTCCGAGATCCTTCCATCCCCCGTTTGCTCCCAGTCTTCTGGGACTAGCGGAGGCCAGAGCCCCGTGAGCAGTGACGCAGGCTTCGTAGAGCCCAGTGCGGTGCCCTACTTGCATTTACACTCCAGACAGGGCAGCGTGATTCCAACCCTGGCGATGAAGAAGGCCTCCAAGGGGAGGAGGCGATTATCTCCTCCGACTCTGCTGCCAAATTCTCCCTCCCATTTGAGTGAGCTCACCTCTCTGAAAGAAGCCACTCCTTCTCCCATTAGTGAGTCTCACAGCGATGAGACCATTCCTAGCGACAGTGGAATTGGAACAGATAATAACAGCACATCAGACAGGGCTGAGAAATTTTGTGGGCAAAAAAAGAGGAGGCATTCTTTTGAGCATGTGTCTCTGATCCCCCCGGAAACCTCGACAGTCCTCAGCAGTCTTAAAGAAAAACATAAACATAAATGTAAGCGCAGGAATCATGATTACCTCAGCTATGACAAGATGAAAAGGCAGAAACGAAAACGGAAAAAGAAATACCCGCAACTCCGAAACAGACAGGACCCAGACTTCATTGCAGAGCTGGAGGAGTTAATAAGCCGTCTAAGTGAGATTCGAATCACCCATCGAAGCCATCACTTTATCCCCCGAGACCTCCTGCCAACTATTTTTCGAATCAATTTTAATAGTTTCTATACACACCCTTCTTTCCCCTTAGACCCTTTGCACTACATCCGAAAACCTGACTTAAAAAAGAAGAGAGGGAGACCCCCTAAGATGAGGGAGGCGATGGCTGAAATGCCTTTCATGCACAGCCTCAGTTTTCCCCTTTCGAGTACTGGGTTCTATCCCTCCTACGGCATGCCTTACTCGCCCTCACCCCTGACCGCTGCCCCCATAGGCCTAGGGTACTATGGCAGATACCCCCCCACTCTGTACCCACCTCCGCCGTCCCCTTCTTTCACCACTCCGCTCCCACCTCCCTCCTACATGCATGCCGGTCATTTGCTCCTCAACCCTACCAAGTACCATAAGAAGAAGCATAAGTTACTTCGCCAGGAGGCCTTTCTGACCACCAGCAGGACCCCCCTCCTGTCCATGAGCACCTACCCCAGCGTCCCCCCCGAGATGGCCTATGGCTGGATGGTGGAGCACAAGCACCGGCACCGGCACAAGCACCGGGAGCATCGCTCCTCCGAGCAGCCCCAGGTTTCCATGGACACTGGTTCTTCCAGGTCTGTCCTGGAGTCCTTAAAGCGCTATCGGTTTGGAAAGGACCCTGTCGGAGAGCGATACAAGCATAAGGAAAAGCACCGGTGTCACATGTCCTGCCCTCATCTCTCGCCTTCAAAAAGCTTAATCAACAGAGAAGAACCATGGGTCCACCGAGAGCCTTCAGAATCGAATCCTTTGGCCTTGGGGTTGCAGACACCTTTACAGATTGACTGTTCAGAAAGTTCTCCAAGTTTATCGCTTGGCGGATTCACTCCCAACTCTGACCTGGCCAGCAGCGATGAACACACAAACCTTTTCACAAGCGCAGTCGGCAGCTGCAGAGTCTCAAACCCTAACTCCAGTGGCCGGAAGAAATTACCTGACAGCCCTGGACTGTTCTCTGCACAGGACACGTCACACAGTCGGCCCCACAGGAAGGAGCCACTGCCTCCCGGCGGGAGGGCAGCCCCAACCCTGGCAGGTAAGGGGATCTGTGCCGCCTGTCACTGGGTTGGAGAAGTCAATTACTTTTAGTAGGTCTACTGGCTTTTGTTTTTATAAATGTAGTTGAAATGTTATCTTCAAAGCTTTAATTTTCAGTAGGTGTGAAAAGTGAGATAAGGCATGTCTTTGCATTAATTAATTAATACTCCATCTTTTCAAAACCAGAAAAAAGCATTTATCTTTCTTAACCCAAAAAGGCTATCCCACAGTTTCTTTAGTGAGGAATGGCTCATAGGTATCTGTTAATAGCTATGCAGAATTTTTAGTATATACTAATGCAATAATTATTGGGTTGTCGGAAAAGTTGTAATGCATTTTTGCTACGAAAAACGTAGAAAAAATACGTCATGACTTTTCTGACAACTCAATTAAATGCTTCTGTTTTACAGGAAGAATATTTCATTCTGTATGTCTCAATAAAAATCTAAGCATTCAGATAATCAACTTCATAAAATTTAACTGAAAATTCAGAGGGGGCTTCATTTTGTAGAGTTCCTTTAAGTAACTTTATAAAAGCTGCTTTTATTGGATCTAAAATGACATAAAACCAATCTAGATAATGTATTTGTAATGTCTAGAAAGTGTCTTTTTAGAAGAGAAGGTAGAAACAAGAAAGAGGAAGCATTACCCATTCATGTAGAAGATATCTCTAAGTCGGGAGTTTTTTATCAAAACCTCAGGGTTTGTAAATTAGCTCTAGGAAATCCGTAAACTTTTCTGATGCTATAAGTAAAATGTGCGTGTATGCTTGTGTGTATTTTTTAGGAGCAAGTCCATACATTTCTGCAGATTTTCTAAGTAAACTATTTAAGCCTCAATATCCCTTCCTGTAAAATGGGATTAGTAGGGTTATTATAAGAAGTAAATGGGATTGTAGTGTCATCAAAGTGATTTGCATATAGTAATCACACAGATGTTAATTGGTATTGTTATTCACCCAAAAGATTAAAAACTTGAATATTAGAGGAAATGATAAGCCCCCTCAAAGACAAGAGTTTTTGTTACTAATTTTCATTATTCATAAACTTGAAAAATAAGATACCTTGATGGAGAAGCTGAGCATTCTTTAGTTTTTAACAGTATAATAAAGAGGAAAAGAAAATCCTAAACTTTAATTAGGTTTGCTCAACAAAAACATTTTTATTTTTTTTTAACATCTTTAAAATCTGTTTAATGATAGAGAGATAGGTAATCTGGGACCTTTTAGTAAGGTATGTGAGTAGAATAATTCACTCACTGCCCTTTTTTAGATTTTATTTTTCTAATTTATTTTTAATTATAGTCGACATACAACATATTATATTAGTGTCAGGTGTACAACAGTGATTCAGCATTTATATACCTTACAAAGTGATCTCCACAATAGGTCTAGTAACCATCACAATAAATTTTTGATAAATATGTATTTAATCAACAAGTTGTGGAATATCTCCTGTCTGCCAGGCGTTCTACTTTGTGGGCCCCGTGAGGTAATGGGGAGCAAGGCACATGGGCTCACTGCTCTCAAGGAACTTAGAGTGGAGGAGACGGGTACTAAATAAAGTACACATTAATGTCATTAAAACTGTTATGAGGGGTATGTAAGCAAAGGAGAAAGTACAAGTTTTTGTGAGAGCGTACAGTGGGGCCTAACTCAGCCAGACGCCCCTGAAAGAGGGACCCTAACCTGTTACCTGAAGGATGAGCAGCAGTTAGCTAGGTAAACAGAACTCCACTCATTCATTTACTCATCCATTCCCTTATTCGTGTATTTATTGAATTCTAGGATCATAGCACTATTTGAGTCCCTGGCATATAGCGGAGAGTAAAGACGTGCTATCTGGCCTCATTAACTGTCAGCTTAGTGAAGATAATAGAGTGATGAGCACATAAATAATGTCGTAATTGAGAAAAATGCTGTCAAGTTGGCATAACAGTGTTAGGGTGGATAATTAAGGGGGAAAAGTTACCTGTTTAGATAAGGGTTTTTAGTTATGGCTTAAAACTTGTAAGATGAGGAGCCACTAGCTTCTCAAGCTGAGGAGTGAGCGGAGAGCTCTTTTGAAGACCCTGAGCTTGAAAGGCACTTAGGTATTGAAAAGCCTTGGGGTGGGGGTGTCATCGTGATAGAAGAGGGACTACAAAAGAGAATGGTGAGAGTTGTGGCAAGAGAAAGAGGCCAGACCATATGGCAAGATTTTGGATTTTATACTGAGAGCGCTGGACACGGGAGTATTGGTTTTAGATTTGCATTTTTAAAAGTGTGTTCTGGCTGGTGTGTGAACGCTGAATTGTAGAGGACAAAAATAGTTGTAGGGAACCAGTTGGAGGCAGCTGCAGTGGTCCAACGAGACGATGTTACTTAGACAAAGGTGGTGGCAGTTTCGTGTGAACAGTTGAGCATGTGCTATGCCCTCATCCACAGGCCGAGGGAGAGCACACGTTACCCACCTGAGAGCCGGTAGAACCTTCGGGTGGGGCTGTTGAGCAGGCAGTTGGACATCTAGTTCTGGAGCTCAGTAGAGATATTTGAGCTGGACATACGGGCATTTCACTATGAGCTCTGAAAAACTTGTTTGGCGGTGTCATCCACTTAAAATAAAAGGGCTTCTGGGAAAGATAGAGTTGGGAGCAGAGTCTCAAAGCCTATGCAACGTTGTAACCGCAGCACCAAGAAAAATACAATTCTAGAAAATACCAGCAACCGTTTTTTTTTTTTTTTTTTTTTTAAGATTTTTTATTGGGGAATTGGGGGGATGGGAACAGTGCTGGGGGATTGGGGAAGGGGAACAGACAAGTTGCTGTCGTTTTGTTCTTCAGTCTAGTTGTGGAGGACGTTGCTTCACTTGCCCAAGTTGGCACCATCATTGCGCTCCTCCCTGGAGAGGCAGATCAGTCGCCGGCTTCTGGACGGCCGCTCACTGCGGCGGCTGGCCGCTCACGCTGGCTGCTGGCTGCACACGGTAGCCCATGGCAACCCACTGCCACAGGGACTGCAGCCCACGCCGTCGCCAGCGACTCACGGCAGCCCAGCTCCAGGTTGAGCTGTTGTTCAGCATCTTAGCTGTGGAGGGCAGTGTTCACTGGCCCTCATATGCGGGATCCGAACCGGGGCCCTCTGGCATCCCAAGCGAGTTCTTAACCATCGCGCCACTCGGCCGGCCCCCCAGCAACCGTTAAAAGAACGTTCAGGTGTTTAATAAGTTAAAAAAATACTACAATAAACATAGGGACTTAACTTTTTGGGAAAATATGAAGGTAGCTTGATAGGAGGAGATAAAAAGAAGGGATGAAGCTGCTAAGTTGGACACAAAATCATATCATTGCCAGGTATAGCTTGTTCTGGTTTATTGTGTGAAGAGTGGGGAAACCACACAACAAGCACTTGTAGGAAAGTCTGTGGCCCGTTGGATCCAAGAGGGGGAACGTAGGATGGACGTGCATTGTGAACGGACTGCCTCGCTCCATGGCTTCCTGCATTTCGTTTTTGTTAGTGTTCTCTTGGTTCAGCTGCTAACCTGGTGCTTCTGAACATGCGTGTGTTTGGAAAATCATGTGAAGTCACACAGCTTCCATGTCATCCTGGTATTCTGCTTATCAGTTGTATATGAGCAATTTCACTTTACAGAAACACAGTAAAAAACAGACTCTACATTTATAAATCGTCTGTCTGTCAGTCATCATGAGAGTGATATTTCCCTATAGAGAGAATGGAGAGCCATGGACAGCTCTGAGGAGCTGCAGTATTTCAAATAGTGGATAAAAACCATCAGCCTTCGGTTTATGTGATGATCTCTACAGTTTTTTAAAAATTAATTGCTAAAATTTAAAAATATGGAATTTTCACATAAAACTTCAGAATTCTGCTTCTCTTTTTAAAGAAATGAGAACATCTGACAACAATCCACATTTGCTGGATGTCATTGATGGTGGGGTCTCCACTAAGGCAGCTCCCCCTCCCCTCCAGTTGGAACATGCATTCTGCAGTATGCCTCCGTCCCGTTTCCTCTGTGTGTGTGTGTGTGTGTGTGTGTGTGTGTGTGTGTGTGTGTTATGGCCAGTTCAGCGATGGAAGTAGTGTGTCTGGCTCCAAGGAACATTTTTAGTTTGAGGCCCCTGATTTAAGAGTTATATGGGAAGGAGCTTATAACAGGTAGGGAATTGAGGTGAGATGACAGGTTAGGTTGTTGAATGTATCATCTACATGGACATTAAAGTTACCCAAGGGGCAGGTTAAAGGAATTGGGGTGAGGATGAATGTGAGCCTGATTTCAGGGTCCTCAGGGAATGAGATAGCAGGGAAGTCTAACCAATGCAAAGATATGTGCTTTAAGAGCAAGAACTTGCCTTTTTTGTCTCTCTCCTTTTAAAAAACTAACATACAAAAATATTGAGACCTGGGGCCGGCCGAGTGGCGCGATGGTTCAGAACTGGCTTGGGACGCCAGAAGACCCCGGTTCGGATCCCACATATGAGGGCCAGTGACACTGCCCTCTACAGCTAAGATGCTGAACAACAGCTCAACCTGGAGCTGGGCTGCCGTGACGATGGTAATAGGTACCCTCTGGTATAGCATGATTAGAAGGGAGCTTCAGTCCTGTGACACTCTTTCCAACAGCTCATAACCACGTCTTATCATAAGAAAACAAAACCAAAAAAGGGTCAAAATGCTGGACCAATACGCCTTGAAAGTATCAAGAACCTGAAAAAACAGGAAAGGTTGAGAAACTTGCACACATCAAAGGAGATTGAGGAGACATGACAACTAAATATAATACAATGTGATGTCCTCAATTGGACCCTAGAACAGGAAAAGAACATACGTTGAAAAATTATACCAATGTCAATTTCACAGTTTTGACAAATGTACTGTCGTTATGGAAGATGTTAAAATTAGGGGAAGTTGGGTAAAGGATGAGAATTCTTGTGCTGTACTGTCTTTGCAACTTTTCTGTAAATTTAAAATTATTCCAAAACCAGTTTAGCTTTTTAAAAAAG